AACTGTTTCTTTGCCTTCTATATTGTTTATTTCTGCCCTGACTTTTATTATTTCTCTTTTCCTGCTGGGTTTGGGGTGCTCCTGTTACTCCCCTTCTAGTTCCTTTTGGTGCGCTGTTAGATTTTGTACTTGCGCTTTTTCTAATTTCTTTAAGTAGGCCTGATATATATCTGTCAAATCCATCTGGTCCAATGTGTCATTCAAGTTCATTGTTTCTTTTTTTTTAATTTTTTAAATGTTTTTATTTATTTCTGAGAGAGAGAGAGAGAGACAGCGTGAGCAGGGGAGGGTCAGAGAGAGAGGCAGATACAGAATCTGAAATAAGCTCCAGGCTCTGAGCTAGCTGTCAGCACAGAGCCTGACGCAGGGCTCAAACCCATGAACCGTGAGATCATGACCTGAAGTGGGACACCTAACCGATTGAGCCACCCAGGCACCCCAAGTCCATTGTTTGTCTAGTGATTTTCTGTCTAGTTCATCTAGCTATTGCTGTAAGTGGAGCATTAAAGTCCCCTGCTATTAGCACATTCTTGTCCATAAGATTGCTTCTGTTTGTGATTGTTTTATGTATTTGGGTGCTTCCATATTCGGTGCATAGACATTTATAAATGTTAGCTCTTCCTGATGGATAGACCCTGTAATTATTATATAAGGCCCTTCTTTATCCCTGCTTACTGCCTTTACTTTAAAGTCCAATTTGTCTGATATAGCTACTCCACCTTTCTTTTGACTTCCAGTAGCATGATATATATTTCTTCATCCCCTTGCTTTCAATCTGAAGGTGTCCTCAGGTCTAAAATGAGTTTCTTGTAGACAGCAAATAGATGGATTTTGTTTTTGTTTTTTTTTTTTATCCATTATGCTACCCTATGTCTTTTGATTGGAGCATTTAGTCCATTTACATTCAGTGTTATTATTGAAAAATATGGGTTTAGAGTCCTTGTGTTCTTTGTAGGATTCATGCTTGTGGTGGTGTCTCTGGCACCTTGCGTTCTTGCAACATTTCCCTCATAAAGTCCCCCTCAGGATTTCTTGTAGGGCTGGTTTAGTGGTGACAAATTCTTTCAATTTTTGTTTATTTGGAAAGACTTTTATCTCTCCTTCTATACTGAATGACAGGCTTGCTGGATAGAGGATTCTTGGCTGCATATTTTTTCTGTTCATCACAGTGAAGATCTTGCCATTCCTTTCTGGCCTGCCAGGTTTCAGTAGATAGGTCTGTCACCACTCTGATAGGTCTGCCTTTGTATGTTAGGGCCCTTTGATCCCTAGCTGTTTTCAGAATTCTCTCTTTGTCCTTGTATTTTGTCAATTTCACTATGATATATCGTGCAGAAGTTCGATTCAAGTTACGTCTGAAGGGAGTTCTCTGTGCCTCTTGGATTTCAAATATCTGTTTCCTTCCTCAGATTGGGGAAGTTCTCAGCTATAATTTGTTCAAGGACTCCTTCAGTGCTTTTCCCTCTTTCTTCCTCTTCTGGAATTCCTATGATACAGATATTGTTCCATTTGATTGTATCACTCAGCTCTTGAACTCTCCTTTCGTGTTCCTGGATCAGTTTATCTCTCTTTCTCTCAGCTTCCTCGTTTTCTGTAATTGTGACTTCTAATTCACCTATTCTCCTCTCTGCCTCTTCAATCCGTGCATTGGATGCTCCATTTTATTATGCATCCCATTAATAGCATTGTTTAATTCATCAGAACTATTTTTTAAGCTCCACAGTCTTTGTAGCAATACTTTCTCTGATGTCTTCCATGCCTTTTCAATTTTATGACTATTGTTCTAAATTCTTGTTCAGTTATGTTGCTTATATCTGTTTTGAGCAGTTTTTTAGCTGTCATTTCTTCCTCGAATTTCTTTAGAGAAGAGTTCTTCCGTTTCATCATTTTGGCTAGCTTTCTGTCTCCTGTCAGATTTCAATGCTTGTTATGTACTCTGCACTTGCAAGTGCTGCTGTATTAAAGAAGGCTCTTTGACTGTCCAGGGCCTGTCCGTTCAGGACATGTTCTTTGAATAGTGTCTCTTGGTTTCTCTTGTTGAGACTTTGGTTATTTTATTTCCCTACTCGTAGTGGTATTTGGGACTCTCCACCATGTGTACTTTGGCTTGTTTCTTGAGGTAGCCCTGGAAAAGAAAGCAGACAGATAAACACACAGGGAACAAAGGCACACAAATGCACGACAAATCCAACAAACATGCAAACCAAAAGGGAAAAAAAGAGGAAGGAGGAAAAACAAATAATAAAAATAAAAGTAAAAAGAAGAAAAGAAAGGAAAAAAGAAAAAACCCAAAAGACAAAGGACAGTCTAAAAGCATAAAACCAGAATTCCCAGCTACAAATAAAGAGCAGGGTGTATGCAGTGCTGATGGAAGAGCACATACAAAGAGAGAAATGTCAGGGAGGGGAGAAATGAAATTGGACAATGACCAGGCAGAGAAACTAAGAGGCTTAATTCAGAGAGAGAAAGAGGAGAATATGGTAAGAGGCGAGGAGAAAGAAATGAAGATAATGTTACTCCGAGAAACTATATAGTCTGATTACTCCAGAGAGAGAGATAGAGAGAGAAAGGTAGCAGTCGAGGTGTAGACTACACGTCTAGAGAATGGATTAAATGTGACTGTTTAAGCAAACCAGTGACCAGAGTGCCCCATCCAGCAGAGGGGAGGGGTACGAATGAGACAAGGGAAAATATATCTGAATAGAAAGAATTGATCTAGAATTAATCATGGCAGTGTATCCATGTTGGTCTTGCCCCGGACTCCGGTAAAACAAAACCAAAAAAAAAAAGCAGCTTTCTAGGGGGGATGGGCGTGGTTTGGTGTAGACGGGTCTTAGCCTCCCCTGTGGCCCGAGGCCACTCCCTGAGGTCCAGCCTTGGTGGTTGTGAGGAGAAAAATCATGGCACCCCAGTCCCTTCTGGAACCAAGTGTTGCAAATCACTCTTTTGGGTCCGATCTCCTTGTTCCGCGGGTGCAGCCAAAGTGTGCCGTGTTCTATGTCCCAAGCCTCGCCTCGTTTCCAGATCTTAGTCCGTGTGCTTTATTGATGCCACCCGAAATATAAACCCACAGGCCGAGTCCGTCCAAGCAGTCTTAGCCGGAGGAGCAGCGGAGCGGTTTCAGGCCACGCTGCTTCCCCTCCAGATGGAGTTGGAAAGCAGAGGGGCAGTTTCTCCTGGCACCGTCCGGGACCAGGGCGTCCAGCTCAAAATTGGCTCCACAGTTGGGAACCGGGTCACTCTCTGTCCCGAGCCGAGGTTTTTCTCTTCTCCAGGGACAGGGACAGTTCTTTGGACAGTTTCATCCGCTCTTTTCCCTTTTACTCACCTCAGCTCCTCGCAGAGGGGGCTCCCCCTCCCTCCGGTTCCAGGCTCGTTTTTATCTTACTTACCCAGTTCGCGCTCATGCACCTAAGGTTGTTTTCTCAGCAGACTCTGCCCCCTTTTCCTTTTCCTTCCAAACTCCTGCGATTCTGTAAGGGTTCCTATGGCTTCAGGCCTTCTCCGTTTGAGAAATAGGGGCGAGCGAAATGTATGGAGCTCCCTACTTATCCGCCATCTTGCCCCTCTCTCAGTTGTACAGTGTTTTGACCTACAACCTGACATCTCTACTAGCTTTTGCTAGTGCCACGACCTGGCTGTTAACTAGCATTTGACAGACTCAATGTTTAGAAATGAAAGAAATGAAGAAAGGAGGGAAAAGGAACTACACAAAGTATAGGCTGATTAAGGCGGATCCAAAGCATAATTTGGAGTTTGCTGTCTTTGCCTGAAATGCTTTGTAAAAGCCTCTTACCTTGACCTTTCAACCAAAAGGATAACACTCACCGTTTACTTGTCTATCTATTAATTAGTGAAATATAATTGACATGTAACATTATGGTAGTTTCCCGTGTACACCATAATGATTCAATATTTGTATATATATCGTGAAGAGAACATTGGGGGCACTAGTTAGCATCCATCACCACACAGAGTCACAAATTTCTTGTGATGACAACTTTTAAGATCTAGTTGCGCGGCACCTGGGTGGCTCAGCCGGTTAAGTGTCTGACTTCGGCTCAGGTCATGATCTCACAGTTCATGGGTTCAAGCCCCGCATCGGGCCCTGTGCTGATAGCTCAGAGCCTGGAGCCTGCTTCAGATCTGTCTCCCTCTCACTCTGCCCCCCCCACCATGCTCTGTTTTGCTCTCTCAATAATAAATAAATATAAAGAATTAAAAAAAATCTCACTTAGCAACTTTTAAATATGCACAGTATTATTGACTATAGTCACCATGCCATACAGTACATCCCCAGGGCTTCTTTATTTTGTAACTAGAAGTTTGTATCATGTGACCACTTTCAGCCATTTCGCCTACCCCTACTCCCCCACCCTGCCTCTGGCAACCACCAATCAGTTCTCTGTGAGTTCAGTTTTTTGTTGTTGTTGCTTTAACAACCATTATTTATTTATTTATTTGGGGGGGAGGTGGCAGAGAGAGGGAGACAGAGAATTGGGCAGGCTCCATGTTGTGCCATCAGCACAGTGCCCAATGTGAGACTTGAACTCATGTGAGGTCATGACCTGAGCCAAGAGTCGGACCCTTAACCAACTGAGCCACCCAGGCACCCCTGAACAGCCTCTGTTTATCAACCAGTGACCATGGATTCCCCCTCAGGTGAACATGACTACAGTAGTGTTACCAGTATGTAAGAGGTCAGCAAAATATTTTCCGTGGCTCAGAGTCTGTGCTTTAATACTATATTTTATGTAGCTTCGCAAATGGAAGAGACATATGTAACTTGAGAATGTGTTTTGTTTTCTCGAAAAATACTGTATATGATTTTGCTCCATAGCACCAAAAAAGACAATCCAATAAGCTCCAAAGAAAGGTTCATCTAATGTAATGTTTTAATTACACTGAGATTTCTAGGAAATGCTGTAACAGATGCTTGCTTTAGATCTTGGAATTTAGGGCTGGAATAATGTAATGTTTGGTTTGGTTTTCTCTTACAGATGACTTGTTTAAAGTTCACAAGCTTAAGTCAAATCTGAAGTGGCGACAGGCTTTTGACAGCTACTTAAAAACTCTGCCTCCATACTACTTATTAGTATGTATTTCTGTGTATACGTGCATTAACTGTATCAGTGATGATTCTTGTCACAAGGAATGTCAGTGAGCCAAACACTTGACCGCTGAGATGAGATAGATGTTTAAATTTCTAAATATTTGTATCGCCATTGTCTTCTCAAATTATGTGTAAGAGCTTGGAGGTGTCATGGCGGCACAAAAGAGAATTGCTTATTTTATTTCCTTTAACTGCCATGGTTATTTTTATAAAAACACGTCTCTATTTCTCTTAGTAAAAGTAACCTTATGAAATTGGAATTTTGGAATTTAAGAAAAATATGTCTGGATTCATGTATTAATACCAACTTCCCTTTTTAACTCTAGAAATTTTCGATATGGGGTTTCCCTCTGAAAAACAGAAATTCTGGAAGCAGTATATTTACTTATTGCCTGTTCAGTGTGTCCTAGGCACAGCATGAAGCAGGGGCGCTGGGCGGGGGAGGGGAATCCCAAAAGAATCCAAAGTTTCTTGGCCTCATTTGGGTTTTTACAATTTGAGAAAAATCCTTCATGGTGCCTTTGAACTGGTCACATAATCTAAAATCATTTCAGAGGTGGCTGTAGCACACTTTAAGCCAAGTTTCTAGAGGTGAAAAGGCAGAATCTTGAATTACCATTGGCGTCGCTGGGAGGGGAAATCGAGTTGCGTCAACGTTTACCATGGCAGGAAAGGGGTACACGATAAAATGCGATGCAAAACAATTGTATGACTTGGGAATTAAGACTGAAAGCAATTGACCTGTTTGAATATGCTGTTTCTTGCTCTTCTTATCCCACTCTCTTCTGATTTGTTTTTTTTTGTTTTGTTTTGTTTTGTTTTTTTGTTTTTGGTTTTTTTTTTTTTTTTTTTTTTTTTTTTTTTTTTTTTTTTTTTTTTTTTTTTTTTTTTTTTTTTTTTTTTTTTTTTTTTTTTTTTTTTTNTTTTTTTTTTTTTTTTTTTTTTTTTTTTTTTTTTTTTTTTTTTTTTTTTTTTTTTTTTTTTTTTTTTTTTTTTTTTTTTTTTTTTTTTTTTACTTTCTGCTCCTTACTCCTCTGCTATTTTCATTGCCACTTTTTAATGTTCCATGTTTGGTTTTATGTGCAGCGCCTTGACTTCTAAGAAATGAAATCATATCCCTTTGCCCCTTATAACTGAACTTTGAGTATTTTAAGATTTATTCTATTCTTACTGTTGTGTATTTTGTTTCCTTATAGCCATTAAAGAAAGCACTAAGGATGATGGGAGCTCCAAATCTGATATCAGATAATTTAGATTGTGGACTTAGTTACAGTGTTATCTCTTACCTTAAAAAACTCAGCCAACAGGTAGTATTGGTAAAAACAAACAAACAAAACTCCTTTGCCCTAAGAAGTGCATTTACTTATTCTTTAGTGTAATTGTCATTTTTCAAATTAAATGTGTATATATTTCTCCACTCTATGGATTAGTAATAATGTGATTCTCTATGGCTTCTAGCTTCACCGTTAAGCTGCAGCTAAGGGTCTGTCAGGGTCATTGGATGCTGTACCATGTCTCCTTTTGCTCGCCAGTTTGTGCTGCCCACGAGCTGGTTGACATCTTGTGGCCTAAGAGGGGCAGAGGCTTAATAAAAATGATCTCGTGGGTCACATTCTGTCTGTCCTCGACCTAGGTTCTCCTCCGATCACACTGGACTAGTGCATCCCCCTTTTTCAGGTCGGCACACTGAGGCATGGTGTGATTCGGCGTCTTGCCTGAAATTAGCTCTTAGGCAACAAGTGCCCATGCGCTTTTTCTTGGAGAGGGGGAGAGGAGTCCAGTGTTCCTCGCGCTGGAGGGTGCTAGAGCCCTTGGGGACCCGAAGAGTGGAGCTCAACCTCCTCTCTTCTTGCCCTCCATCCGTTCCTTTAAACCCCCACCTCATTTACCATTATTCACCTTGTGCCTTGCCTGCCCCTCTATTAGTACCTCATCCTCCACTCACCCCTACTTACCATACTTCTCACCTCTACCTAGCCCATTCTTGCAGGATGGAAATGTTTGAGAACCACTGAGGTAGAGCTTTACTGCCGTACGAATGTGTTATGTTCGATGATAAACTAATGCAGCCTTTTTGCTTTCTTCTTATGCACAAGGGTGCTCGCAGGTAGGGGACAGTGGTAGCATCCGCAGTGGCTGTCAGGCTTTAAGTCACATATGTCTGGAAGTTGGGCCTTTAGAAGACAGACAGTCGTAAGCAAAAGAGCATCAGATTTCATCAAAGAACCAAAATGACTCTGCAGCTGGGGATACTGACACACCTGGCTAGGGTCCGGCACAAACGGAAGTACGGTCTGGAGTTTACCAGCTCCTGCCCGTCCAGTGTGCTCATAAATGCAAAAGACAATAAAGGCAAACCTAGGCTTCTGGTCCACCGAGCATCCCCATGACCCCCTTTCCTCTCCACTAGTAGATTTTTGTTGTTGTTGTGAATGTTTTGTTTGGGTTATTGATTGACTGATTGACCTATTGATTTATATATATATTTTATCCGATGCCTACCTTAGGCCTTTAGGGCTGTGTCAGCAGGGTATGGCCACCAGGAAGAATAGTGAGCAGAGCTGAAAGCCATGCAAGCTCTGGGACCTTCTGGGACATGTTGCTTGTGTAGTTTTCTACTAGATGAGATTTCGGGACCATTTCTGGAAACAGACCCTTCCTTTGCTCTTATCCCTTATTTCATGACTTAATTTTGTGCAAAAGATAATAAGCATACTTAATTCCACTCATAGTGAAAATTAATGAATCTCTCCAACCTAACCGTATGAAATGCGAAATCCTTTTGGCCTTACTGGGCATTGGTGGAATTCCTTCTTTTAAAGAAGATTATTACTAATTTATAATCACTCTAATTACTAATTTTATTACTAATTTAATAACTGTCACCAGTGCTCCTTGAACCATCCCAGATGTATGTAAATCACAAAATATGCCCAATATATTGCTATGATACACCGTCAAGCAATATTTATCAATGTGGTATAATAGTGTCCATTAGGATTTTTTTGTAAGTTAGCTAGAAACTTACTGAGCAGATATTACAAATCATTTACGTGGTAATGTTTGTTAAATTTAAGCATTACTTTTTTGGGGGTGCTCTGATATGAGAAATAAACAGTTGAATTTTTCCCAGATGTAATGCCAATCTGTGTAATCTGAATTTTAGCGCTAGTTTACATTTATAAATACGGAGTCTTACACCTTTATGTCTGGGTCTGAAATAAATATAGTGACTCAGGCTAGATTTTACAGCAACAAAATGTGATTTTAAATGTCTATGAATGTACTTCTTATCCATGGTTTCCATTCTCTCCATGATTCAGTCATAATTTTGCCATTAGACAAGAAAAAAATGTAGGAAGTTATTTATTTTTCTCACCTCCCGCCTCCCTGTTTGCTGTGATAGTGCAGAGAAGCACAGGGAAATGTTTAATTATCCATTTTTCTGTGATTTACAATTGAAAAATTTCTGTGGGGTTCTTAAAGTGTTATCTTTCTTAAGTAGTAACAACAACAGTGATGATAAAGATCTTTTCATAACATACTATGTACTTTCATTTTAGACCAAACTAGAGTCAGAGCGGATACTAGCATCCGTGGGGAAGAAACCTCCCCAGGAAATCGGAATCAAAGTGAAAAATCATTCTGGAGGTGGCGTGTCCTTTACCCACAGTAAAAATTTTAGAAAACTATTGAAAGAAATCATAGGGGAAAGTGCACCAAGACTGACCGAATGGAATACCAAAGAATTTGCTGGCTTCCAAGTCGGGCTCTTAAACAAGGTAAATTGTAGACATAAATACTTTGTATTTGTTTGAACTTGTCTGACTCACATGCGTCCTATTATTGCAGCTTTGAAATAATTACGATCCTGTTTTGGACTTCATAGTTATCCCCGGATCGGCTTAGGAATTGTCTTGCCAGTAGAGGCCAAGATGAATTTAAATGTCCAAGATATGTTTTGGGGATAATGTCTGTGAAGGATGAAGGGGGGAGAGAGAGGAGTCGGCAGGGAGAGCCTTCGGCCACACTGCTGATCTAGCACCTGTAAGAGGAGGGGACGAGGAGGAGGTTTGGGTATGAAGAGTCTCGGGCAGCAGTGCCGCTGCGACAAGGTCGTGGCCCAGCAGGGACCCCTGACACCGGGATTTCCCATAGAGGAGGTCCACGTTGGGCAGAACTGGCCAGGCCAGTTGACCTACTTGGGAAAGGATATTCGCAGTGGTTTGAGCACGTTGTGGGTATTTTAGAATTTGGAACAAGGCCAGCAAAGGCGAATTTTCCACTGGCAAAATTCTACGGTAGTTGTGTTCAATGTCCCTCTCTTCACGACGATTTCAACTGCGTTAAGAATTACATTTCTATATTAAAAGCCTCAGGAGTAACTGAAATTATTTGTTCCATTTCAAATAGGATTTGAAACCTCAGACATACAGAAATGCTTATGACATTCCACGTAGAGGTCTTTTAGACCAGTTAACCAGAATGAGATCCAATCTGCTGAAAACACACAAGTTTATTGTTGGACAAGATGAAGGTAAATGAGCAAAGAAGTATTTTTTGTTGATTAGGAAAAAGTGGAGCCTGACTTTCATGAAAGTGCTTATTGCATAACACAGGTTATTTTGTAATACTTTAAGATTTAGAATGCCCATTTTCACTGAATCCCTCTACTACTCAGGCACAAGTTCATTGTCCTCAGGTTTTAGGGGAGGTGTGCACATTAATTGACGTACATACTGCACTACCCATGCTTTGGCTCTTATAAGCCTCAAAACAGTCCAATGACGTAGATACTGTTTTTATGCCCATTTTATGGACATGGGAACTGAGAGTGCACATTTTTTAAGCTTTTATTTTAATTCCACTGTTGTTAACAGAGTGTTATATTAATTTCAGGTGTACAATATAGTGCTTCAACCCTTCACCCGGTGCTTATGACCACCAATGCACTCCTTAATCCCCATCACCTGTTTCACCCATCCCCCACCCACCTCCCCTCCGGTAACCATCCGTTTGTCCTCTATGATTGAGGTCTGTTTCTTGGTATCTCTCTCTCAAGGGTGAGCATTTAAAAAAAAATTTTTTTTTGTTTATTTATTTTTGAGACAGAGAGAGACAGAGCACGAGCAGGGGAGGGGCAGAAAGAGAGGGAGACACAGAATGTGAAGCAGGCTCCAGGCTCTGAGCTGGCTGTCAGCACAGAGCCCGACACAGGGCTCAAACCCACAAACCGTGACATCATGACCTGAGCCGAAGTCGGACGCTTAACCGACTGAGCCACCCATGCGCCTCAAGGGCGAGCATTTTGATGGCCAGTCCAGGTGTAGTGAGGTGGAAAGTGGCAGGACCTAGGTCTGTCAGATTTTGGAAACTGCACAACCCAACCTGTTGTGATGAATTCAACCCAGAATTCCTCATTTACATGAAAAGAACGAAGCTGACATTGTGTGGGATAATTGGTGATGGTGTACAATTTCCCTTTACTCCATTTGGTTCATTTGAAACATTTGTTTCATTTGGGTCATTTGTACATTACAAGGAGTTAAATCTGAAGCTGGCCAACCTCCTGAAACTATACACCCAAGTTTTGTGGAGAGCAGGAAGCTTCTCTAGGAAGGGAGCCTATAGATGCAGTCACATTCTCCAAGAACGTAAGGCCTACTAACGAAGGTTCTCTGTCTGCTAAGAGAGAACCATGGAGACTAGGCTCCTCAAAATGCAGAACAAACTTGGTGTTTCAGGTTGGGTGGCATAGAGGTTGTCAGCCCATTTTCAAACCTGGTTTGAAGCATCAGTGCGTTGTATTTGGCCTAGCGATTTGAGCTTGTAGGCAGTAGTGACGGTACACTGAGTAGTGAGTGGGATGAGGAGAGATGATTTTAGATCTTAGAATTTGAGATTTTTTAATGTTTATATTTAGTTTTGAGAGAGAGTGAGAGAGCATATCAGCAGGGGGGAGGCAACGAGAGAGGGAGACACAGAATCCGAAGCAGGCTTCCTTCAGGCTCTGAGCTGTCAGCACAGAGCCCGACGCAGGGCTCAAACCCATGAACATGAGATCATGACCTGAGCCAAAGTCGGATGCTTAACCAACTGAGCCACCCAGCCGCCCCAAGAATTTGAGATTTTAGACTATGGGATGCCAAGGCACACATTGTTAAGCCAGACTATGATCATGTTCTCTTCAAGTTTTATTTATCTACCTATCTATCTATCTATTTATTTGCTTATTTATTTATTTATTTATTTAATTTATTTAGAGAGCTCACACGCACACATGTGAGCAAGAGAGGGGCAGAGAGAGGGAGAGAGAATCCCAAGCCAGCTCTGTGCTGTCAGCACAGAGCCTGACACAGGGCTCGATCCCACAAACCGTGAGATCATGTCCTGAGCTGAAATCAATAGGATCCTCAATGCATAGAACCACGCAGGCACCCCGATCCATGTCCTCTGAAAGAACCTAGACACTGCAGCTGCGTAGCATTTGTTTCTTTCCCTGTGATTTTACAGATTCCCTTCATAGTGTTCCAGTCGCACAAATGGGTAACTATCAGGAATACCTAAAGACATTGGCTTCTCCGCTTCGAGAGATTGATCCAGATCAACCAAAAAGACTACATACTTTTGGCAATCCATTCAAACAAGATAAGAAGGTAAAGTACCTGTTTCTAAATCTGCCTAAATTGTGATATTCTTGCTATAATTCCTTTCTTCTGGGCAAGGTGAATATGAATCAGAGGTTCTCTCTCTGTTTGTTGACAAGATAAAATAGGACTCCAGGGCTCTTTGTGAATGGAAGGTGGGAGCCTCCCGATACAAAGGTGTGTTGCTTGAAGAAAAGAACAAGTGACATCTATTGAGTACCTAGTAGGAGTTGGTGTTTTACATGATCGCATTTAATGCCCACAGTAGTTCTGCAGATGAGTGTTACCGTCTGCCCTTTCATCAGAAGAAATCAAGGCTCACGGTGGTCAAGGGGCATGCTCTGAGTAACATAGCTGGTAAGAGCCAGGATCTGAACCCACATCTTTCCAGCTCCAGAGTCTGTATTCATCCCCACCTCTACACACTAATTCCTTTAATATTGAGATCACCAGTTATTTCCCCTTTCCATTACTCAGATCTCTAGCACTCTAGCTAGACAGTGATCAAGCGTTTATCTTGAAATAGGAAGTACTACGTGATGTTGCTTTATTTGGATTGTCCTACTAGAGAGCTAAATGTGAGGTGTGTGCGTGTGTGTGTGTGTGTGTGAGAGAGAAAGAGAGAGAGAGAGAGGCTGACTTGACCATCTAAGGATGAAGACAAATGGAGATTCTGTTTGCATGCATGGAGACCCATTGGTGGTAAGGTGCGGGCCATACAATAATCTGTGTGGTATACAAAGCTAGACTGAAAGAGATTCCACCTAACCCCAATCCTCAATCAATTGGACTTTTTCTTAATCCTTCTGTGCCTTGGTCTCCTCATTTGTACCACTGGGGATAATTACTGCGCTTATTAGAGCCCTGTGTGGTATTGAGTTAATGCATGTACCCATTTCAAACATGACCTGACATGCAGTAAATGCTCAGGATGTCTGGTTTCCCCTTTCTGTACTGCGTTGCTTTGGAAAACACCTTGGAAAAGTCATGTGTCATGATTTTATGAAAATATTTTCATTTTCTTAGGTTATCCTTGGATGGGAACAGCTTTTAGCTAACCTTCTGCACTGCTGGCTCTCATCTTTCACCTACCCGCAAGGATGCAAAGCCCCCAAAATGAACATATTTGAACTTCCGTGAGATTGCTGTTGGGGGGGGGGTGACATTTTCTGTCACTCTGCTCTCTCCTGTCCACACGCAGCATTGTGTACAGTGATAGTCAATATTTCTTAATGATGTGCTCAAAGCGCAAAAGCGCACAAAGGGGAATTGTTTGACTTACCAAGGGTCGCTTCAGAATGGTTTATACTTCTTCCGAAAAGGAACTGTGGGTTGATTCCCCCTTCGATTGATGCGAGTTGCTTCCCTCAGGCTTTCTGGTTAATCATAATCATATTGTGTTTGACCTTGGCAACGCGTTCTATTTCATTTCCTCCTTGTTCCACTGAGACTAGGTTAAGATTGGACTGGAGTAGCACTTTCTGAGAACAGGGTCCGTGTGGGACATGGTCAACCTCCAGCCTATGATGAAGGCGTGTGTTGGTAATGGGGTGTAGGGCTGTGTGTGTGCGGGGCGGCGTGCAGGTGCCTTGCACTTTAATGGAGAGTGTTCATTGATGTTTTCTAGGGAATGATGATTGATGAAGCAGATGAATTCGTGGCAGGGCCACAAAACAAAGTGAAGCGCCCCGGAGAGCCCAACAGTCCTCTGTCATCTAAGAGAAGGCGGAGTATGTCCCTGCTGTTGGCGAAACCACAAACACCACCTACTGTAACTAACCATGTGGGCGGAAAGGGACCACCCTCAGCCTCGTGGTTCCCATCTTATCCAAACCTCATAAAACCCACCCTTGTACATACAGGTATAGAGTAGTGGTTGTGATTTCCTTATGGCTCCTAGAAGACTAAGACACTAAACAGCTTTATTTTCCTTTGTATTCATTTCTTTTGTATCCGCTTTTTGTTCGTTGAGTAAACCATTATTAAATCATCAGTGTGGTAGGTACAAAGGGCTCCGAGGGGATTAGAGTCACTCTCTGAGGCGAGAAGATCTATATTTATACAGTAACTAGCACAAGGTGGAGAAGTGGAGATAGGAGCGTGTTACTGTGTGAGTCGGAACAGGGAAGCAGGTTCTTGACGCAGCAGGTGCAAAATGGATTCAGTAAGAGGATGGGTCTGCACTGGCTCTCCGGTTCCTCGACTCCTGCTCCCCCTCTAACCCAGGGCAGTCTGCCCCCCCACCCCCCGCACTAAGACAGGCGTCATCGCAGCCCCCAGTGCCTGCTGCATGTTGCCATTGCTTCTTCATGTCATGTGTCACGGTGGTTCACTCCCTCCTTCCTGGAAACTCTCAGGCTCCCGGACACCGCAAGTCCTGGTTTTCTTTTCCCTTGGATGACAGCTCCTATTCATCCTCTCTTTCTGGTTTCCACCTTCCTCTCCCGCCTGTAAATAGCGTAGGGACCCAAAGCTCGATTCCGCCCCCCCCCCCCCCCCCCCCCCCCGCCCTGGTGCTCCCATGCAGCCTTGGGCTTTCCAGGACATTTACCTGTTAACAACTCGGGTGTTTACACCTTGCTCCAAACTCCAGACCTAAATTTAACCACAGCCGCGGGATCTCCACTGAGGTATCCGGTAGGCAGATAAAACTCGGCCCCACGTGTTTCAACAGAACACCTAACCTCCGCTCTCTCCAAAACAGCTCAACTTGCAGCCTTCCACAGGCATGACTGTTAATGTTAAATGACACCATTGGGCAGTATGTTGGTAAAGCTGCGACGGCCAGCTGTCCGAGTGTGTGGGGGCTGGGAGGCTGAAGCCCTCGATTACAATGTTTGCACGTTTCCACGGCGTAACTAATGCCAACGTGATCGCTATCAGGCCATCAGCCTGAGGTCACTGGGCCAGATCAGGAAGAGCAGGGCACGACCCACTGCCACGAGCAGTTGGGCACTGGCACTGCACGCTCCTGGCACTGCTGTTTCCCCAGGGGCTCAGGGAATACCCTTGGAGTCACCATGAGTTGTCTTTTACTCATCTCTCACCTCAGTCCCTTAGCAAGTGCAGGCAACGTGACACCCAGTATGATTCCTGTGGCGCCCTGTGTCCCCATCCCTCTGGTCTGTGCTGCCACCATCTGTCCCCAAGCTGCTACAACAGCTTCTCATCCGATTCCCCTGCCCTCCCACGTGACGCTCCTGACCCATCACCGCCCCGCAGCCAGAGTGACCCTGTGCGCACGGAAATCCCTTCATGCCACGTCCACCCTGAAGCCCGCCATCCACTCCCCCGAGCGCTCAGAACAGAATCGGAGCTCCCGACGCTGGTCTACGCGCTCCGCAGGACCCGGTCCTGCCATCCTCTCCTGCGCGTGTCCTCTGGGGGGGGGGGGGTCCTCCTTGCTCTCTCTGCCTCTGTCCTTTCTCCATGGCCCCGGCTCGTCCCCTCCTAGGGGCCCTGCACTGGCCCTCACGGCAGCCGGAAGTCCTCCTCCTCACGTGCACGGGCCCCCTGTCTCCTGTGCCAGGGGTCACCTCCTCAGAGGGCCCTGCCTGACCACGGGGTCCTGGAGGCTCCCCCTCCTGCTGTCGGTCACATCCCTGATGTCTTCCTTCCCATCGCGAGTTCAAACGGTATTATTCCCTTTGCCCAAGTTACACATACCACCTGACGTCCCCATGAGGATGTAAGTTCCATAAGCGTAGGGACCGCCCCTGTCTGCCTCGTCCCCTGCTGATCCCCTGGCTTGGGCTCGGTGCCTGGCGGAAAGGCCGAGCATCGGAAGTAGAGGCGTCAGGCCTGGAGTAAAAGGAAACTCATTTCCTTGTCACAGAAGGGAACGATGAGAATCACATGCAGACAAAGATTTTTGGTTACGGAGTATGTAGAGAGCCTTGAGACCTAATAGCCACCTCTCTTCTCTTAGAACCTTCGAGGTAGAGAGGAGGGAAATGGAAGGGGGCCCACAGGGTCTGGTGCCAAGCTCAGTGGAGCGTGACATTTATTTACTTTTTAAAGCATGGCATTTTATATGCAAATTACGGAATTCATGACATGAAGTGAGACTTGCTGCCTTTCAGCATGCAAGCCACCAGTGGTCCTTAAAACAGGGGTGCCAGGGAGCTGAGAATGCTTAGTGCTTGTCCTGCCTGACTCGGTTTCCCGATGTCCTGGGAGTGCCAGGAAGAGGAGAAAGTGATTTTGTCGCATTACCTTCCTGCGCTCGGTTTCAGGGGTCTCAGACTCCACCTGTACATCTTCTTGCTTTTTTGAAACCAATCATTTCCTCAAACATGAGGAGCATGGGGATTTACCTGTGGGGTTGATATAACCCACCTTCCTCACAGTTTGCCTTCCTGATTTGGCCTCCAGATGTCACTGTCATTCCTGAGGTCCATGAGGAGAAGATGGAAAATGGTCCGATCCCACCTGATGGCTTCTTGTCAAAGTCTGCTCCCCCAGAGCTTATAAATATGGCGGGAGATGGTATTCCGCACCCCCAGCAGCTGGATTCTCTGTCTGACGACTTCACGAGTCTACGGAAAGATGGCCTGGTTCACAGACCTGGTACCAGTGCACTTCTGGGAGGAAGCAAACACTGCGGTGTGTCTGTGGAGGAACGGAAAGCCTCAGTAACCCCCACTTTGGGGACTGCACCAAACACCTTGCACATAACCCCCGCTATGGCTCAAGGAATCAATGCTGATATAAAACATCAGTTGATGAAGGAAGTTCGAAAATTTGGACGAAGTAAGTAGTGAAAGCACATGTGTCAATAATATAGCGGAAGGCCCTTCTCATATGATTCAGGACAGATTCGTGCTCTCTCTTGAGGTATTTGAGAAGTATTGGGTTTTCACATATTTAAACAAAATTTTTTTTGTTTATTTCTGAGAGAGAGAGCATGATCAGAGGAGGGGCAGAGAGAGAGAAGGAGACAGAATCTGAAGGGGGCTCCACATTGTCAGTACAAAGCCCGACCTGGGGCTGAAACGCACGAACGTGTGAGATGGCCTGAGCCAAAGCCGGACACTTGGCCAGTTGAGCCACCCAGGTGCCTCAGGTTTTCACATAATTTAAAGTTGACTCCTCTTGCTTTAACAAAAAGGACCCAATACACCTTTTTCTCTTTTTTGCACCTTACTTACCATAAGTTTCCTTTTGCTTCTGTTAACAAGTTGCCACAAACTACGTGGCTCAAACTATATTCCCCTTACAGTCGTGGAAGTCAGAACTCTGAAATTACTTTCACTGGGCTAACTTAACTCTAGGCAAGTCCCTTTTGCCGTATACGGTAACATATTAACAAGGTTCCAGAAGTTAAGACATGGGCAACTTTGGGACCCTTCCTTAGTCTACCATGTTTGTTTAGCATTTACAAGAATTTCCTTAGTAGCTGATGTGTGGATGTTTTGGTTTGAGTGTTTAAATTACAAATTGTATCTTTCCACCCGTGAGGACTGATTACTGAGGATGTGTAAAGATGGAATCTTATTTCCTAGTCATATTTTTTAAAGAATACTGAAGTTTTTCTTCTTATGTATCTTCAGAGTATGAAAGAATTTTCATTTTGCTTGAAGAAGTGCAAGGATCTCTTGCAGTCAAGAAACAATTTGTTGAATTTACCATCAAGGAAGCTGCAAGGTGGGTGTAAGGTGGAGACCTTCATTGCTTGTTGCTAGGCAGTAGCGCCCAATGAAGGAGGGGGAGAGGAGTAAGCTCGCCCTTCCTTTTCTCAAGCCCTGGCTCTCACTCACAGTTAAGGCTGTCTCCAGAGGCATTTAGATCAATATTATCGGAGTCCAACTCATTCATCCAAGTCTGTGGAATCTTCTAAGCTCACCACAGTTGGAGGTGGGCTCAGGTCCTCAGTTGGCACTGTTAGTATTTGCTAAACCGCATTTTTTTAAAATTTAGTTTTATGTTTTATTTATTTTTGAGAGAGAGAGACTCAGAAGGAGCAGGGGAGGGATAGAGAGAGAGAGGGAGACACAGAATCTGAAGACAGTCTCCAGGCTCTGGGCTGTCAGCACAGAGCCCGATGCGGGGCTCGAACCCGCAAATTGGGAGATCATGACCTAAGCCGAAGTCGGATGCTTAACTGAC